AAAAAAATTTTTTTTCAAGGTAAAAAAATAATTTTATGTATTTTTGCTCAAAACGGGATAAAGAAAGTTTTATTTTATATTTGCTACGGAAATTTAAATTAAAGTTTTTACAAAAAGAAAATGCAAGTTTTTTTTTTTTGATACAGAGGCGAAATTTAAATGAATCACATTAAGAACATCAAGATTTAAATAATATATTAGCTACTTATATGGTCAACATATACACTGATATTGAAAATATTTAAATTGTATAATTTATTGTTTTCAAATATAATTCTTAAATTGAAATTTGCAAAGTTCAACGAAAAATTCTTGATCCCATATATAGAACAAAATTATATTAAGTGTATATTCGGATGCTTTGATAAAAAAGAATTACTAATTATAAATAAAAATTAAAGTTAAAAATTTTAAGTTTAAGAAAATTTTGAGAATTCTAAATTTGAAAAGAAGCTCAGCTCTATTATAATACTACTCAGCACAAAACAACTGAAATTGGGATCACAAATGAATTTTGCTTACTTATTTTAATTAAAATGCTAATTACCGTATCCTGGAATGAAAATGTACAAAATAAAATTGAATAATCAAGTTTTTTGAAAATTTGTTGAAACAATTATCGAAAGTAAATATTAATTTTGAAATATTTAGTAAATTTTGAACTATAAGTACTGTAAAATGTTCGAGTATAATCAAAATATATTTATTCAAAGTAAACCTTTCGGCAATTTGACTATATTATTATTGACTATTAAATTTCTTGAATTCAGATTTGTCTTCAGCTTATTATTAACTTAACATTTAGTATTTCATATAGATATCGTATATCATATATATAATTGCAAATTAAACTGAAAAGTCCTGAAAACACCGGACACGTATAGTGCGCACATTTGCATTTATTTGATTATTTAGACCTATCAAACGAATTATTAATTAATTTGCTTATCATTATTGAACTCATTGTCAAATTGCAAATAAAATATAATTTTTCAAAAATTACAGTCATGTACTTGCAGTTTAGTCAGAAAATCAGTTTAAAGCTTCTAAAGAGTAATTTTTTTTTACTATTATTTTCCAAAATATTGAACAATCTCCCAACAATCTCCTACATTTGCATAAGTACAATTATAATCAAAATGTTTGTACCATATGCTTCCTTTTATGATATAATTAATAAAAATTAAAAGGAAAACCAATTAATGTTGCGAAAATCTGATTATAAAATATTTTGAAGAAAAAACTTAAAAGCATTGCTCTAGATCTATAGAAAAACATAACAGAAAAAACAAAAAATTAAATTAAATATAATGATTCTATTACTCTCGTACCAGAAACATATAAAATTTTAACTCAAAATCTAAATGAGTACAGTCATTAATTTATTTCTACACAAAATGTATAGAAAATATAAACGTGCATATTTTGTAGACTTTTAACATTTTCGATTATGACTAACCTACATACTTATGTATATATGTATATATAAAAATTAAAAATGATTCACATTGTAAATTAATATTTTCCTTATTTGTTAAACTGGAGTATACCTATAATATACCATAAAATTTATGATCTTTAATTATATGGAGCTCATCTTCAGACTATGGTGAATACAAATTTACATATACACCATATAGTCTACTACTACTCTATACGATATATATATAAAAATATTTTATTGTTATTTATAGTGAATTAAATGGTTTTCGATTACGATTTTGAAGTGTTTTAAATGATTTTGAATTGTATGCATATTGCGTATACTTAAAATTATAATAATAACAAAAAATAAAAGGAAAAATATGATAACAATAGTGTGGGCAATGCACTAATTAGGATATATATGCAATATTTACAAACATATCTGTTATATTATATGGAAATTGGATTCTACATTTGTATACTCTAATAATGTTGAATATATTGTGCGTGAATCCGGCATATTGACTTTTAAAAATATGTTATACTAAAACAATTTAATTCAAAATGACTCTTCACACTTTAAATGCATCAGTTTTAAAAGACTGATTCAATTAAATTTGTAATCATACTTATTTAATAATTACTTTCAAAAGTAAGACTCTGAGAATAGGAGGGTTATAAAATTAATGAACTGAAAATTAATTTTAAATTAATAAAATATTCAAATACACGTGCTAGTTGTAAGTATAAAGGGAGGAAATTCGTCATAACCGGAAAATTTATATAAAAACAAAATATGTAGTATATATAAAATTAGTGGCGCTTAAATAGGTTCTATATAAAGAGGAAATACAAAAATTTTTGTTGTAATAATAAAATTCAATAATCCAAGAGTCTTTAATAAAATTATTGCAATTTCTGAAATTATAAAACAAATAATTTACTACATAGCACAACTTAATCATTTTGTTCAATTGGTACGTACAATATATATATATATACTAATCTGTTATATAAAATATTCTTATATAATATATGTAATACATTAAACATGTGCATAAATTGTATGAAATAAGAAAAATAAGAAAAAAAAAGCTATAAATACGAATTTCGCCAAATATTTTTAAGTTGTTAGTATTTTTGGTTTTCGTTTTTTTTTTGACAGTAAAATATCATATTTCAAGTATAGGCCTCATGTTTTATGCTTTATGTTAAATGTCGGATCATAGTATATACTTACTCTGTAATATTTGCCAATTTATTAAACATTTTTTTATGGAAAAATAACAAAAAAAATAATTATAACATTTTCTAAAAATATATAGACACAAAATATTCACCGGAAATATGAATTCTATATTGAAATAGAAAAAATGGATATATAGTTTGCATTATGATTTATCAAATAAGAATTTTTATACCTAATTATTACTCATTTTTAAATACATGTGCTAAAATACACACATGTACCCATATATTTTAGTATACAAAATTTTAAATTTCATTATTGATTTTTTTATATTTGCAAATTAATTAAATTATTATTTATTTTCAGAATTAAATTTACTAAATGCAAGTAATAGAAGTACCATTATAATGTACAGTGCTTTCCGAAATTTTTAAAACTTACCCGAGGGTTGATATACATAAAGACTTTAAGTATATATGTGATTACATTTTTAATTTCCCAGATAAATTAATTGATAATTTTATATTTTAGTGGATCGGATATAGAATTTATTAGAGATGCAATATGTTATACACACACTGTTATATACACACTCTGTTAAACATAACACGTTTTATATTTTATCTTAAATATCCTGCGGCTGTGATATAAAATAAAATTAGTATGCTGAGTGAAATAAATTCAAACTATAATATTAAAGGAGAATTATTAAACTATATGATGACTTAACATGAAATCTACATATATATGTATATATGCTCAAAAGTATATCAGAAGTTATTAGCATTACTGTACACTGCAATAAATATATTGAATAATATTGGCAAGTGACACGCACAAAATACACCTTATACTTAAGTCCGACATTAAGGATATAGTCGTTTTTATATGCATTTTAATCAAACTACTTTTTTTTTACTCAGAAAAAATACATATATACCTGGTGAAAATATTCTAGTATATCCCATTTATTCTACAAATTAATAAGTATATAAATTTAAAATATTCTTCAAAATTCTATACGAATAATTTTATTTGTTTAATCAACTTGTTGCGCTCATTATAACTTTCAAAAATTAATAATAGTTTTCATATTTTTCATGAGCAAAATTCGATATTTATGTTTAATTCTAATTTTCGATAATTAATAAATTAATTAAATAATAAGTAATGTAAGTATTTATTTATTGAAAAAAAAAATAATGTTTTTGTTCTACAAACATAATTGCAATATGAAAACAAAAATGAAATTCTATTAAACTTTTCCATTATTTAAAATAAAATAAAATTTTTTATATTACTATAAACACAAGTATAACAATAATATAACATATATAATTTTAGTATGCAAACATTTTCTGTATATAAAATAAGTAAGAAAAAGTAATTTACTGATTGAGAATGAATTTTTAAAAACAAGTTTATGTTTTTTTTTTTTGGTACATTCTTATTGCAATTTTTAAAAAAATACCAAAAGTGAAAAGAATTTGAAAATAAATTATTGCAATGATCTATATACCGAAAGAAATAAATACCTATGTATGTAATATATACAGAGCCGGATCTATAGAATATAATAGGCAAAGTAAGCATTTGCAATGAGCGCCGGAAAACAGGGGCAACATTGAAAACTTACAAAAAGAAAAAAATAAATCTTAATTTCCAAAAATGTTTTTCTATTTACAGCGAAATTAACTTGATAAGATGTGATGCTGAACAAAAAGCTAAATGTTTAATTCCAGGCTTCAATTCAATGACTAATTTTGCGTTCAGTATGATAAAATTACAAGAAAATTATTTATCATGTGCAATATTTATTGTATCAAAGCTTCAAAAGTGTTGCTGGAGGGAGTGGGAGACGTACTTTTTTAAAAAACCGCTTAAACAGCCTAAGGAACCGGGCCTGAATATGTATATATACTTGTATAATATGCGAAATTTAAAATATATATTCAATATTAACATGTGCTGTAATTTATATACAATATAACGAGTAATAGGTATAAATATAATATAATTATACATATTCACAATATATAATAATATATAGTATATACTTGTGTGTATGTCAGAAAAATTTCATACATTTAGTTACATACTAAAATAACACATACATTTCATACATACATACATAATTTTATTTTTGAAAATGTACAAAAAATGACTTCATCACTACCGAAATATTTTTTTTTTTTTCAAAAATAAAGAAAAAAATAAATAAATTCTAAATTTAAAATTTATAATATTTTAAACACTATACTTATTATACGTAAAATTAAGTTGAAAAAATTTAAAAAAAAAAATAAAAATCATAAATAAATAAATAAAAAAAAAATTTTAATATGTATATTATTAAAAATGAATAAGAAAAATATTTTTCACTTACCAATAATTAGTATTAGAAAAATTCCAAGAAAAATTTCTATTTTATTGTACAATTTCATTTTTACACAAATATTTTTTTTTTTATCTTTTATTATTTTATTACTAAATATTAAATATAATTTTATTTTCTTGCTTTGTTTCTTTTATTAATTTTTATAATTTGTTATTTTTTAAAATTTTCTTGAATTTTTCATAAAAATCATGCAATCAAATTTAATAAATAATATTGATAAATGAACTAAAAAACAAAAGTAAGTGTAAACAAAAGATAAAATAAAATATAAAAAATTTATAAATTCACAAAATTAAAAAAATTTTCATAAAAACTAAATTTATTTTTTAATATTATTACCGTTATAAATTCATTTAAATTCGTTATATTTTACCGTATTTTATACTGTTATATATAAATATTTATTTTATTATTAAAATGCATTTAAATAATTTATTTTGTTTGTTATTTTATATATTTGTATTTAATTAGTATAGTTTTTCTGAAAAAAATATTTTATATTAGTATGTATGATCTGTAAATAATAATAATAAACACAATTATTTGTTTTTTGTATAACAGTTTAGTTTAGAAGAAAAATGTAAAGAAATGACTCAATAAAATAATCCAATATAGGTATATAATAAATAATATTTAAATATAAAAAAAATAAAATTAATAATGAAATAAAAATATTTTAAAAATCATAAATTAAATATTTAATATTAATATAAAAAATTGTTGAAAATAATTATTCGAATAATTCAAATTTCAATTCTTTGTTTTTGACACTCTTTTAATAAGAGTATAATTTAAAAATTTAGTGCTTGCAAATGATCACTAAATTTAATGACTTTTTAATTTCAAATTATTTGAAAAAGAAAATATTTTGCAAACTAAAAAATTGCCATAACTCAAAAACTATAAATTTCCAGTTATGTATTTATCATGTATAACAAAATGAAAAATATCATTTTAAAAAAATATATATATTTTATATATAAGTATTATAGAATGACTGTTTTTTACTGAATTTAAAGTTAACAAGCCCAGTTCAAATTTCTATACTTAAATTATTATTAAAGACTTTTGTTAAAAAAAAATAAAACCAATATCTTGAATAATGGAGTGAAGATTTTATTTCTTTATTAATATTCTTATATATTCAAGGAAACTTTAAATTTTAAATTTGTTATTTTTTTTTCAAATTTTGTTTTACAAATTTTAAATAAATTTGAAATTTTAATTAAAAATTCATAATAAATTAGTTATAGTTAATTAATTTTTGTAATTAAATTTTTGATTTTTGACTATTTTTAATTCTTTTTTCAATCAATTAAAAATTTGAATAAAATTTAATTTATAAAAATAATGAATTTGTCTTTTGTTTTTATATTAATTAAGTAATTATTTAAAATCACTCAAACAATAAATTTAAAAATATTTTTTAAAAAATTTTATTTTTTTTTTTACCGAAAATCATATTATTTTTGAGTTACAACAATTAATTTTGCAAATATAAGTGAAATGATTATTTTAAATTTCATTTATAAATAAATACAATATAATAGTATATTTATACGGATATATATGTTTTTTATTAAGTAATTACTAATTATAGATATATATATATATATATTATTTAATTAAAATAAACAAAAAATAAAATAATTTTTCACTTTGTTTTAAATTTATTTGTTGATATTATTTTGATTATAAAATTTTTTTTTCTATTATATTTTTTAATTAAATTATTTAATTTTCAATCATTTTTTTTTTAAATTTTCTATTATTACATTATATTAGCTATTATTTTTTCTTTTCTTTTCGTTAATTTACACGGCGGGGTTATTATATTGTTCACTTTATATATACTCATACAAATATAATACAATTAAAGTATATGAGTGCATATGGAATGCAATTTTTGAAAAAAAAAAATAAAATCCTATATAGATAATAATTTATTTATTTGGATTTATGTGTATATGTACATACAAATATTAAAAATTTTAACTATTCACATTTATTTTTATTAAATTTAATCATAATTTTATTACATAGATATTTTATTTTTTTTTTTTTGTTTTTATTTTGTATACATAAGTATATAGTTATTGTATGCCCAAAAAACCACCGCAAACTGAACGCTTTTTCATTTAATTTAATTTTTTGAGCGGTCTCTCATCATTATCATCATCATTATCATCATCATCACAACAATCATAATCAGCGCAATACTATTTTTATAATAATGAAATTTTTCTTATAATTTTCTATTAGATTTTGTTTTTTTTTTTTTTTGACTTTTTAATAGTTTTAAAATATTTATTTATTTTTTTTTTTTTTTTTGATTTTTATTCCACTTGTTCTCTTCTATAATCATATACTGTACAATACAATATCACACAGAAATATTTTTTTTTGTATTACAATAATATATAATAATATTGTACCGTGTATAACAGTGAATTGATTCATGAGTAAAATAAAAGCATGCACAATAATAAATAAATTTTATAATATGAAAATTATGAAAATTTTCAAATAAAAAAAAAAAACATAAAATATAATTTTGTTCTACACATACACAAAAATAAAATTAGAATAAAATAAAATAAATAAATAAATAAAAAAAAAAAATTTTATATTAATAGAAAAAATAAAATTAAAATTGAAAAAAAAAAGAAAAAATATAACAGAATTTTTTATAAATTTTATTTATATCTATTTTTTTTTTAATATTATTGCAAAAACAAAATTTGTAACTACTTGTAGTAAAAAAAATATATTTTTGTATAATTTTATTTTTTGTTTTTATTTTTCATTCGAGGAATAATTTTTTTTTTATTTAATTTAATTCTGTTTTTTTCTTTCTTTATTATTATTTTTTATTTTAGTTAAATGCTTGTTATACTCAAGAAAGTTTCTTAAGTACTGGCAATTCCCGATTGTAATATGGTGTATGAAAAGAGTAGTTTTTATTTAATATAAAAACAGAAAAATAAAATAAAAAGAAAAAAGGAAACAAAATATAAAAAAAAAATTTATTCGTTATGTTAATTTTAACGTAATGTACACGATAACGTCGGTATGTTTGTATGTGAAATATTCATATGTTTGGTGTTGTTGTAGTTGCTGTTATTGTTGTTGTTGTTGTTGTTCTATAATTTCTGTTATTTTTTTTTTTTTTCACTTTTTATTTTTTTGTGCTTTAAAAATCATTCACCAGAACTTTAGTTCGTTATTTATTTTGGTTTTTCTTTTTTATTATTATTATTTTATGTTTTTGAATTTTTTATTTATAGTGTTTTGTATACATACACATTTACAGTATGTCGGTATGTATGTATGTATGTATGTAGATTAACATATATGATTGCATGTACATTTTATGCATATAATATGATTGTTTGTGTTCAGTATTTTTGTGCAATTTTTTTTTTTTGACAGTGTCAAAATTTTTTATTAAAATGAATTTAGAATCAAAAAAATATTTTTGTGTTCCGTAATGGTTCCTTTTTCTAAATGTTAGATAATAATTATTATAATTTAGGTACATATATGTATGTATAGAATTAAGTACTAGGGTATTTGTACATATTTAATTTTATATTTGTTAATGTATAACAGCTCCAAGTAAATTTAATGAAAATTTTATATAAAATTAAATTCTATTTGATATAATGTATAATAAAAATATTGTAATTCTGAAGGATACATATATTTACATTATGTATGTATAAATTAATTAGTAATTAAGTACATTATGTATAAATAGAATAAAATAAACAATAAAATTTAGTTCCAATGTATAGCTTGGGGTTTTTTACCTTTATATTTGTATTATATTATTTTATATTTGGTAAATTGTACGATAATAAATTAGGGGATGTTAATATATGTACATTCAGGGTAATTTATTTTATCATTATATTTACAGTTATTAGAATTTGAATTCTTCTACTATAATTCATAAATTTTATTATTATTTTAAATTCAAATAAATGAATTCAAATTGACACCAGAACTTAAATATTTAAAACTGATTTTCTCATTTATCTAACCCCACACAATATTCCAATTTATTAGAAAGATAAGTCTCGAGGAATCTATTTGTATAATAAAATTATATATAAAAAAATATATATGTAATTATAATAAAATTATATATGTAATTATATATAATAAATTTATGATCTGAAAACAATAAGTACAATTTCTACATATTTATATATAATACCAATAATATAAAATAATTGAATATATTGATAAATATTCAAATATAAATTGGAAAAAAGAACAAAAATTTGCTGATAAATATTTTATTTTCAAAATACAATAAAATTTTTTTATATATAAATAATAAATTTCTGTAAAATATATTTCTGTTTGTAAATAACATTCGAAGGGTCGTAAATATTATTAGAAAATTTTGTAGAATTTTTGTAATAAGTGTATATATTTTATATATGAAGTTGTAAAAACTGGAGACCAAATTGTTCCCCATATATTGTAGATATTTTCAGTATATATTAAAAGTTCATAATATAATGATTTCACTGTATATATATATATATTAAATAATAGTAATAATCATTTAAAACAATTTATAATATTATATTCTTTAAAATAAACTGATTAAATGGCTAAATATTTTATTTGAGAATCTAAGTTACTAATAATCAAAATTCCTTAAATTACATTAATCCATTCTATACATGTAGATATGTATACATATGTACATGTATAGAATATTGTTTGCATGAATATAATATCTAACAACCCGGTAAATGTGGGTGCGTAAAAAAAATTAAACGTGCATGGTATTATGTATGTAAACTAATTCATATACACATAGATTATTTAATAAAAAATATAACGTTATACAAAATGAAAACAAAAAAAAAAACAAAAAAACAAAAATATTACATTTCTGTCATTCTTTTACACATAAATACAAAAACAAAAAAAACGTACACATACGAGTATATACATACTTAAATTCATATGTAATTATTTATACCGTTGCTATCATAAGTAATATTATGTACACATGTATGTAATGTATTTAAAATCGTAAATGTAACGATATACATAAATACAATATTCCTTTTACAACTATGAAAAACACGAGGCGCACCATCAATTTTTTAATACTTCATTCTCCATTCAAAAAAAAAAAAAAAAGAGAGTCCGCACATGTAGGTATGTAAGTATGTATGTTTGCTACTTTGTGTCTGTTTTATTTATTTTTGCTTTTCCTTTTTTTTTTTTAACTTTTTGTAAATAATGAATTTGTAGTTTTTTAAAGCCTTCAGGAATTCCTTAAAAAAAATTTTTGTTTTTTTACTTTCTAATTTTATAAACACATAAACTATGTATGTAAATTTAAACAACATTTATGCTCAACGTTAATGTATAGGGGGAGCAATTTTACTGTCATTATATTTACGTTACTTTGATATCCTTATAAAATGAACAAATATACATACATACTGATATATATGGATATATAATGTATGAATGTATGTATGTACAAACATATAAATGAAATTTAGTACATTGCGGTGATATAGTACTTTAAAATTTTATAGGAAAATATATGTACATACATATATGTATGTTGTTAAGTAAAAAAAGAATCTATGAATGTAACAGACCGGAACAATATATGCATGCACCTTTAAATGTACAGCCATACATACATTTATATATATAATATATGAAAAAGACTGGTCCTAAAACAAAAACAAATATGAACATTTAAAGGAAAAAAAATCAAAAAAAAAAAAAAAAAAATTTAAAATTCTAAACACAAATTACAAATAAAATACGGAAAAGGGAAAAAAAACATAAATTCACCTATGTTTTTATATACATAGTTACATATTATTATAATGTAAGTACATGTGTATATGTGTGTTTATATGTATATAAGAAAAGCGTAAAGAAATAATATTTTTAAGGGTAAAAGACAATAATATGGAACGTGCTAAGCAAAATTCATTGACTAATAGATTATTTGTCATACATACATATGCACAACTGGGTACACATACAAATAAAAAAAAAAATACAAAACAATATATGTGTGTATGATTATGTATAAGCAAAATATAATTATTGTCAATTCAAATATTCAAAATAAAAAAGATACAAAATTATGAAAAACAAAAGAATTAATATATGTACTTGTATGTATAGCTAGTTATTTCTAGCATGTATAAAGAAGAAAACAATATTATATATTTCCATCAATTATAGGATATGTTTTTTAACTGCCATTCTTACATTTCAAGTAGTAAATAAGAAATTATCGTATCCAAGTTAAATATTTTAAGTTGATTTTTTACTATTAAATCTGAATCAGTAATTAAGATTTAACAGTAAAAAATCAATTCTTAATTATCACGCTGTTAAAGCCCAGAGATCAAAAAATCTTAATTAATTCTTAATTATTACGGTTCTCAGTATTGTACATGTAAACACTTAAAATTTCTGTTAGTTACAGAACTTATACCGTATCAAACATTGCTCATTAATTTTGATTCATTTGATTAAAATTGTAGATGAAAGTTTGCGATATGTAAACCTCTGTGAGCTTTCTCTAATACAAATAAAGTACCTACACCATTGAAATCTTAAATCAATAAACACAATTAAATCTGTGAGCAATATTATTAATTAATGCCTATAAGCTCTTACTTTAGAAGCCTTATATAATCCCATAGGTGTGCGTAGAAAATTGATCACGTTTGCCAATTGACCACAAAACCATTGCATAATATGTAATGTGCTGCCATTGTAATTATAATTAGAACTTGAATTCTATTCTTTTATAAACCAACATTCTTTTTTTTCTTAAATATGTATAATGTTCTGTCAAACATTTTAAATGCTTCTTTAACGGTAAAACATATTTATTGTACACTTCATAATAATTTTTACAAAAAAAAAAAAAAATGAAAAATTATTTACATTTAACCTTATAATTTCCCGAAATAATGTAATCTATGGAAAAATCCTTATTGAGCCGTAAGTCATAAATAATCGCTTGTTAATACTTAGAAGAAATAAAAAACAAATAAATAAAATATCTATTTATGCTCATGTACGTATGTATGTATGCACATTAACTGGCACATAATATACAATTCCAATTGAAAAATTATAGTTGAATTTAGTTTTTGGTTTTTTTTTGTTTTTTTTTTTTAATATTCATAAAATGACAAATAATAAGTAATATAAAATATTTATTTCCTTTCATATTTTAATTCTATAAATAAAATCTACTACATGTTATGATATTCTTTTTCAGTTTAGATTATTTTTCTAATAAATAAAAATTGTTATTACATTAAATTATAAGAAAAGAGATAAATTTATTTATAATTGTTTTATAATTCTGCAATTTTAATTATTCTGGAATTTTAAAGAAAATGAATGAATAATAATGAAGGAAACAAATTTCATTTCTCAGAATTATTCGAAACTGGACAGGCAGGTATAAGAACGATAGAAGAATTAGTTCACAATGACTGGTGCATAGAGAGGAGTAAGCCAACATTATTTCAAGTCTAAGAAAACTTGTGAAAGGAACTTTATAAATAATAGTAATTAAATAAAATTTAAATATTTTATTGAGAATTTAATTTTGCAAACTACTCGTAGTTCAAATATAATATAATTTTCATTTCTTTAATAGGTTTTTGACCGTTTCTCAGTATACCAAATGTGTGCAATTGAAGTTAGTTGCAAACGGAACGGATTATTATTTTAGTTTCTATTGTATTGTTTGGAGATTCCTGCATAAGTGATTTTTAAATATGACGAAATGAATGACGGCAAAGATATTCTTATTTTGAAGTTTCAAATTTTCCACTTTATATGAAAGAATTATTAAAAAATTTCAATTGCGAAAATTGCAGATGCTTTTATTTAGCCAAAATCAAACAAATAACGTGATTAACAAACGATCAAATCATTCGAATTACGTTAATATGATGAGATCGTCAAATCTTTGGCATACTGGGGACAACCTTTATTTTAATATTAAGTATAGGCAACTAGTGAATTCAATTGACTTTGCCATATTTTCATTTGAGGCTAATAGTTAGTTTGATCAACTGTTTTTCATTCTTTCTTGTTTTTGTCTAATAAAATTATTTTTGTTTGATTCTAAACATTGTTACACAAAATTATTAGACAACGCGGGTGATACCTCATCAATTGAATTAAATACAACAAAACAAAAAAAAATAAATAAAATGGAAAACGTTTAATAATAATATAAAATATAAGCATATCAAATTACCATTCTTCACGCGATTAAAACTATATATGAGTGTACATACATTATTTATGTATGATAAAACACAAATCGTCATAAATAAGTGTACATAAATAAAAAGAAAATTTTTATATTTTTGGTTATATGCAAATTTTATTGTGTTTAAGATTTTACTGCTTTTCTAATAAATTGAAAAAATAAGTAAAAAATAATGAAAATTTATAAATTTCCTTTCATATTATTTTTGTTTATTTTTTTTTTCCTTTAAATAAATAGAAATATGCAAGTATATCCACGTATATATTTTGTGTATTTCCGAAAATAAAATTTAAATAAAACATCAAAAGGCTTTCCGAAAAACAAAAAAAAAAAAAACAAAAAATTTTTTTACAAAATAAAAAACCATTAAATTATTAATCAAATAATAAAACAAAAGGGAAAAAAATGAAGTAAAATTGAAATGTTATAAAATAAAATGAATAAAGTTAAAATATATGTAATATGTATGTATGTAAATGTATAAGTAAATAAAAGGATGCATATTTAATTGTGAACACATCAGGTGCTCAAAATCTCAATATTAATCGAACAAATACATTTTTAATATAGAATTTTTGTAGCTATAGTACCGTTATTATAGTTTAAAAATCAAAATTATATGTGTTTATGATTATATACAGGCATACATACTTATATAATAAGCATAAATATACATATGTATATTTGCACTGTTAAACATGCAGTAATTATTCTTTACTGACTAAATATTGAAATTTTTAACACGTAAGAGTGCATCTGATCTTTAACGGTTCTTTACTCTAAGAGAGCGGCCTGTGAGTGGAATAAAGCTTGTTTCCAGTGAGTTAAAGTTTTCTCCAGTTTCAGAAGTTGTCTTTGTGAAAATTCACGACTAGATTATTGGCATTTTTTTGTGTTCGATTCGAAATTAGATGTTTAAGACGGCAACACAATTACCAAAATATTATGAAAATGGGCTCCAAAAGAGGCAAAAGCGATTTCAATTATCAATCAATAAAATCAATGTATCGGTATTACGATGCTCAAATTTCTCACTAAGTATTAATTTTGTGATTTTGATTTATATCAATTTTGGGTTGGTTTACACATTGGTGTTGGGTTTTTTACGACAAATAACAGAAAATAACTTAAAAGTAATGTATTTTTTTTAAGTATGGTAATAAAATATTTTTTTTTTTAAATTTCACAGTAAGAAAATTTGTTTTACAAAAAAAAAAAAAACAAAAAATTGATTTCATGGAGAACTGAGCTCCGTTCTCAAATGCGTTTGCAAAATATGTAGTCTGGCTTATTTCTCCCACTCCAAATTCATTGAAATTTGCTATTTGAGTTTAAACATTAATTTATATCAGCAAAGTAGAGATTTAAGAATAATTGTCTGATATTAGATTAAAATACATGCTTGCATATACATACCTACATAAATATACCACTTGAAAAACAAATGACGAGTCCATGATTAAGCCATTTCTTTGCAAAAACTTTCAAAAATAAAAATTTATTTAATAAAAAAATTATTAAAACATTTAAAACCAAAAAAAAAACGAATAATTTTACGCATTACTACCAAATAGCACTTCCAATATACTTCCCATAGCACCAAAGGAAACGTAGTACATTGGCAAAGCAAGCAAAACTTTTATTTCAACTGAATTTTTGAGAGACCAGCGTTTCTCTCTAATAACACTTTTTTGGACCAAGTGACAGCTCGCAGCGTATTGTGATTCATTAAAATATTGTGAATTTGTAATTTCTTTTAAATGTTGCTCAACTTTATTTACTAACATTATAGATATTTGATGCTACACTTTTTTAATATGAGCTAATCCGTTGTTGCTACCTAATACTCTTGTTTTTGTTTACAACTGATCCCAATTTCCTAAAATTCACATTTTTATGATACAAAAGCAGCTTCAATTTCTCTTATAAAGTAACCAACAATATAATTTTTTACTAATTTTGTGATCAGTATATAAAATGATGTCGAATAAATTGTTGTCGGATCAAGGTTTAAGATTAGATGGCAGAAGGCCACATGAATTACGGAAAATAAGTTGTAAACTTGGTGTTTTCAGTCAACCAGATGGGAGCGCGTACATTGAACAAGGAAACACTAAAGTCTTGGCAGCCGTATATGGACCACACCAGGTTAAAAATAAAATATTTATAAAAAAAAATTGATTTTGTTAAATAAAATATTCTTAAAGGCTTCTGCAAAAAAGAGTAGTCAGGATGAAGTTATAGTTAACTGTCAGTATAGTATGGCCACATTTTCAACCGGTGAAAGAAAAAGTCGTCCAAGAGGTGATAGGAAATCAACAGAAATGACAATAAATTTGCAGCAAACTTTAAGGGCTGCTATACTTACAGAATTATATCCTAAATCACAGATTGATGTTTATATTGAAATTTTACAAGCTGATGGTGGTACTTATTGTGCTTCAGTAAATGCGGTAAACTTATTTTCAAATTAAAACAATGGAAAATTCAAAAAATTGATGAGTTTTAGGCTACTCTTGCTTTAATCGACGCTGGAATTTGTATCAAAGAATATATTTGTGCTTGTACGGCATCTTTAGCTAATGGTGATGTACCACTAATGGATGTTTCCAATTTAGAAGAAAATTGTGGTGGTCCAACTTTATCAGTAGCAGCTCTTCCAACTTCAAATAAAATTGCATTTATGGAGATGTCACAAAGATTTCACTTAGATCAATTGCCAAAGGTTCTAGAACACGCTCAACAGGGATGTCAAGAAATCCGTTATATATTAGATAAAGCAGTTCAAGAACATATAACATTAATGGGTTACGCAAGTGATTGGGGCAATGTGGTTAAAAATTAAATTGTAATTATACCAATTTTCGGTTTAAAAATGTTTGCCTTGATAAATATAGATTTTAAAAATCTAATACCATGTAGCTCTTAGTTTTACGAATTTCAGCATATTAATTTGAATTTAAGCTTGTCCAAAAGCTGAATAAATGTAAATTTTTTGCAAATTTACTGATTAGAAGAATATTGGCCAATTAATGAATTAAACCAACCATTCCAATATGACGTGTTTTGACAACAGTTAACAAAACAAAAAAAAAATTCGACATATTCTAGCATTGCCATATTTCTTTATTGCAAATATAACACTACATACCTTGCTTATAAAGTCAAAACTACCATATTTCTTTTTCCTAATTATATTACATAGATATTCTTTGCAATATGATAAAATTCAACTGTAAGGTTTATTTAATAAGATCAGCCTAACAATCTTTTGTCAGAATATATAGTAATTATAAATTTTTTAAATATTATAAGAGCATTCAGAAAGCGGTTTAAACGGCAAATTTTAATCGGCCATCTTTTGACCAAATGATTTTGTTTATCTGGCAGCAACCATTTGGTTTGTCTCGTCAGGTTATTATAAAAAAAAATTGGTATTTCATTATTCATTTTTAAAAATGTAAAAAAGTTGTAAAATCATTATATTTTAATATTAAAATCTAAATACAGATTGTAATATATTTAATATACAAAATATCAATTCAGTATTTATGTGAGGAGTACAATAAATTTAATATAGAATGAAAAAATGTTCAGAAAATTGCTCCCAACAAAGTAAGTTGTAATATAATGCAAATTTTATATAAGAATTACAAAAAAATCTAAGCTCAATATTGTAGAAATCAAAATTTGTGTGTTGATAATACTTTAGGAAAACTAAAATTTGAAATTTAATCAAAGTACAATTGACTTTGAAAAACTTGTGGGTAGGAGGTATTTTTATATATGTATATGTATATATACATGTATACTTTTAAGTACATAGGTATGTAAATAGGTACATACATAATATTGAATAAAAAATAGTAAAAGCGTAAATCTTAACATGCTAAAATAAAAGTTGTAGGTATACTACGAGTACGTAATTCATTATGGGTGTTATTACACACAAAAAATTGTTGGATATGATAAAAGTATATAATTTATTTATGTGATTTGATAATTCAATTAGAATTAAAGATGTTGGTACATACCTACCTATTACATCAAAATTAGTTAAAAACATACTTTCATAATTATATTGATGTGGATAAAAATTAAAATGTAAACTGTATATACATATACATACATATAATTATTGAACAATGTTTGGATATTTCAGATAACGTGACCGTAGAGCATCTGAGAAGAACTACTTCACTCGACGCACTATCGCCATGGAACTCGTCATTAGATATAATTCTTTTAGGTAAGAATTTCCATAATAATTTTATGTGTAAATTTCATTATTTTACCTATAGGTACATGTGTATGTACATGTATGCATTTGATAAGTACTTAATTAAATTAGTAAAAACCAATTTTAATAAAAAATTATTTAATATACAAATTCATTCTTTAATTAATCAAGATAAAGCAACTCAGACTGAGTGGTCGCCTATTGAAGGCTTAGAAAATATAGAGAATACAACTTCATCGGAATCACCAGTAATAAGAGAACATTTAGAAAATTCACAAACCAGCGAAACAGTTAGCATCCAAACAGTGCAATCAAAACCAATTCACGGTACGTTGTTTAAACATATTTGTACCAATATTTGGTTTCAACTTTTTAAAATATTTTTAGGATTTCCTAGTTCAACCTTAATGCCAGTTAAACCTGGAACAAATATACATATACGACATATGAGAAGCTCAGTAGAAGGATTAAATCAAGAAATAGAAAAATTAGTTCTATACACTGGACAAAAAAATTCTAGTCAGAATGAATTATGCCCGGTAATTATATATATATAAATTTATGTGTAATATATCTAAAATTAATTTTGCAATTAAAGAATTGTAAAATTTTTGAATAAATTTCAAAAAACAAAAATATGCAATTATTTTAAAGATTGTAGTTTAAAGAAAGTACCTATTTTTTTTAAAGATTGCTGGTGGTACACCAGAAGGGCACAGAGCACCTGTAGCTGAACTATTTCATGATAGTATGAGATCGGTTAATACACAAACTCCAATGGGAGATATAATATCATCAGGTAAAAAATAAAAATTAATTTTTTTTTGTTTTAATTTTAAACGAAAATATTTTATAGATGAAAGTCCATCCTCTGATGATCGGAGTAATACACCAAGTGCATCTCCAAGAATTAATAGATTTTTATCAAGAGAACCTCCTGACGGATGTGAAAGAGTAATAATAATAACTATCAACTTTTTATGAATGTACGTTTTGTATGCTTAATTACTTTTATATTTTAGATCTCAACCAAAATTGTTGAAAAAGTTAAAGCAGGAGATTTCAAACCAAATGTGGGCTCGCTTGTTATATCACAAGCATCTGCTTTTACACCGTTACAACAGTTGAATACAGAAAAAATTATTAGTGAACAGACTGAGTAAACATTTTCAAGTATTTAAGATGAAAAAAATATATATATTTTTAAAAGCATTTTGTTACTGAATAGAATTAAAATTTTGGAAGAAATGTGGTATGAAAAAAGAAATGAATGTTTTAAAAGAAATTTTTAGTTTTTTGATTTTAATTTAAAAAAAAAATATACATATTTCATTTTATTTAGATCAACTAAATTAAAAATTAGAAAAATAGCATATATTTTAATGCATTTTAAAAGTATTAATGTGGTTTATTGTGCCAGTTACATATAATATTAAGATACTTGTACCTGAATCATTAAATAATAAGTATGGGTCTGAGATTGAATAAAATATCATGAAAATACATAAATTTAAAGTTCTATCGACTCTAAATGTCCAGTTGTAAAAAATGCACAAAGTACAGGTTTTCTTTCACAAATCATATAAGAAAAATAAAGAATGATTATTTTTTAAAGAACTAAATAATTTATTAACAATTTTTACTAACTATATTATTTTTAAATAGAGTACATAAGAAATATAACATTTTAAGTATATATCTCAAAACCTTATTAACTATACTCCTTGCAGGCAGTACACCAATAAATGATTAAATTAATGTGATGCTTCGCAAATTTTTTAATATATTTATATAATAGGAGTATTTTTTATAAGATAAAAATTGTATTATTATAAAATACACATAGGTGAGTAGAACACATAAAGCATTATTATTTATTAAAAATTTTCCATTAATTTTATTGATATTTTTATTCCAAAAAAGAATAAAGATATATTATTGCTCTTTTTGAATTTTTGAATATGAATGTAATATTATTTGATATTATTTATCTGTTCTTTTACAATGTTAGTTGTACGTTCTGTACAATTTTTGATAATTCAACTTTTGAAGGTACTAAGTAAAACGCTGGTGCCACTGCAGATCCGCATGGACAACAACACCCATTTACCCAACTAAAACTTCCCAATTTTTGATTACATTTTGGGCAATTCAGTCTGCCTTGGCTATGTTTCAAAATATCTTTCATCCATGCAATTGGTTCCAAAAATACAATTTTATCACATACATCTGCGATAATAGGTTGCTCTTCATTCTCGGGAACAATGGAAGACTCTTGTAACTGCTCACATAAATTTTGTATATTATTGTCAGATTTTGATTCGCTATCCAATTCTGTATTAATTTTCGTATTATTTTCAATAATTTTGCTATTATGATTTAAAACATGTGATTTATTCGCAAGTATTCGCCTACATTGACGACAACGATAAACTATCGGTTCTGGATTTTCTTGTGTCAATCCAGGATCTGGTTGTATTAAATCCATACAACTCTGTGGAAGAATTTTAGCTTTTTTAACTTTCTCTGAAGCTATCCTTAAACGATATTTCTTGTATTTTTGATAATTTGGATCTATTTTACATCCCATTCTTTTAAATAACTTTAATTGAAATATAAATCCAACATTTGGTTGAACATACTTCCTTTTTTTTAAAACCATTTCATACGCAGGTCCATAATCCAAATTATATTTTTTCATTATATATGCAATTACGATAGCTGAGCTTCTGCTGACTCCAAAGTAACAGTGAACCAATACTTTTCCATTTTTTAATGAGTCCGTAATGTAATTGATGCATTCTTCCAAATAATGCAATAAGTCTTCTCTTGGCATATCAGATACATGTACATATTTCGTTGTTAAAAATGATTGTTCGGATATGTGGCATGGTAGAGGCACAGTATCTAATGTTAAAATGCTGGTTATTTGGTAATTTTTTAATGTTTCCAAACTACAAGCGGCAGAAAGATTTCCCAAAAACAAGCCATCTTCTATTTCATCAAGACTGACAGGACCGCTATCAAAATCTTCTCTTGTTATATTTGATGAAGAAATTTTTTGTTTTGAATAGATTTTAGTGCCTTCCATCCTTTTTTCTAGAATTTGTTTTTATTTTGGATTTATTCTTTACTGTGTAATTTAAGTATTACCAGTTACAACGTTTTTCGTAATTTTGAAAGATTTAACACAATATGTGACAACACTGGTGTTGTTGTGCGAAGTTTTTTTAAAAGATTTTGGCTGAAAAGGAATTATTTTTAATTTAATGTTTAATATTGGTAATTAAATTGGTTAAGCATTTTTTGTAACAGAAATAAGTTATTTTTTAATTTTTGGCTCCTAAAGGAACTTACTATGTAATTGGGAAAATGTTCGAAATTTTAGATGGATAGGTATACATATATTTTTTTTTAATAAAGTTGAAACCGTTGATTTGACACTCCACGTAGCATATTTTTATAAAAGTTCAATTATAGGGTAGATTGGCAAATAAATGACCTACATTACTTAATTATTACTAATTAGACAACTATTACATTTTACAATCTATTTATATTTTGCATCGTTCCCATCTTCTGAGAATAATTTTTTTGTCAGCTCAGCTGCATACTGAACAAGTCTGTTAAGCTGTATACTGAATTTATAGAAATTATATGGAAATTACATATGAACTTAACTAAACATTACAAATAACTTTTATGCAGTTTATTTTCTAATTACACATGTATTTAGCACCTAAATAAAAAATTTACAATTTTTTGAATTATTACTTAAATTCTATGTTATTTACAATATATAACAGTGCCTTGCATCTTTCGTCATAAATTATTTGTTGTATAAGGTTATCCAAAGCTCTGTCACCGTTTAAAAAATCCTTTAAATTGTGAAAAGTTCCATTTTTCAATCTATGATCAGTTATTCTATCTTGAGTGAAGTTATATGTACGAATTTTTTCATTTCGATTCCTAGTACCAATTTGTGATTTCCGCAGTGAAGTTCGTTCCTCTTCCTTCAACAAATAATGCATATGTTGTTTAATATTGTGTAAATTTCATGTTATATTAAAAAATCATATTATTTATTAATACATAACTAGGTATGTATACTCACCTGTGCTGTCAATTGCTTTTGTATTAAAATATTTTCTAGTTTTTTTAACGCAATTGTTCTATTTTTAACTTGGGATCGTTCAGTTTGGCATTCTACTGTCGTTCCACTTGGTATATGAGTAACTCTAACAGCACTATCTGTAGTATTTACATGTTGGCCTCCAGCGCCAGAAGCTCTTTTTGTTTCAATTTTCAGTGACTTTTCATCTAATTCCAGATTAATGTCATCATGTTTTGGAATTACCGCTACTACTGTAGTACTAGTATGCATCCTACCAGATTTTTCATTTGCTGGAACTCTTTGTACCCTATGAACCCCAGCTTCATTTTGTAAATATTCGAAAGCGTTATCATTGTTTATCATCATTGTTGCTCTTCTTATTCCTTAAATTATTTTAAAACATTTTACAAAAATACAACTTTTTTAAACTTGATAATGGTAAGGTAAACCTCCTATAGGGCTCTCTTCCTTTTCGATTATCTCATAATCCCAATTTTTATAGCAAAAAAAGTTTTCATACATTCGAAATAAATCTGATGCAAATAACATAGCCTCCTGGCCACCTACACCTGCATTGATTTCAAAAAAAATTTCTGAACACTTTTTAGGAGCGCAAGATTGCAATAATTGATCAATAATTTTATTTTCTAAATTTTCCAACATTTTAGTATAAACCTAAAAAACCAATAACTTTGTAAAAATATGTATTTAAAACTTGGATTAACGTTTAATTTTGTAACTACCTGTTTCTCTTCTTTGACCAGTTCTTTCATTTCCTCATCTTTCTCCTTTTCCATATCATTCAAATTTTGCAAATTCAAGATTAAACAATTTCTTTTCTCGTAGCTGTCGACAACATCAGAAAGACGACGCATCCTTAAATGATCCTTTTCGGATTCTAGTGAACTGAGTCGTAGTGCATAAAATTCGCTTTTTAACGCGTTTAAATATTTTAATAAATTTTCATTTTTAAGCGAAATAATTTCGGATGTCATATGTATACACGCTTTAAGTTCAAAATAACATTTTCGTTGTACTAAGTTAGCAAATGGCTTTAAATAATTATAAATCATTTTTATTAATTTTTGTTTAAGACCTGAGAAATATGATGTAAAATCATAAATCAAAATAACTAAACATAATAAAACTTTAAAGTACCTAACCTCAATATTAGTTTCAAAATACCATTTTGTTTCTAAATCAGTGATCCTCAGACCTTTTCACATTGCAGTGACTTTAAACTTAGCATTGCCACAGTTTCAAACTTAGTCTTACAACATTCATTTAACATAACTATAAACATAAAATAAAGGATGTGTAGCTTAACGTAACCTACATTATTAGAAAATTATTATATTACAAGTATTTGCAACATATTTATTAAAAATTATATTTATTACAATAAAACTTTTCTGATTCGAATTCGTAAGAGACCTTTAAAATAGGTTTAAAGAAATAGATATAAAGGATACATAATTAAAGAGAGACCTAAAAGTTCTGGAGGTAGATAGTCTGAATGCAAATTAATAAATTACTAAATATTTAGCTTATATCAGAAGATAGATTTATTTAATATTAAAAAATACTAAATCATTATCAAATTGATAAGGTTTTGTTACAATACGTTATTTATTTTAACCCTTTTAATCCATATCAAGTGTGACAGCATAAATTGAACCAGTAGTCAATATTTTAATAAATGTAATACGTGGTATAAACATTTTATGCATCATATGACTTCTATGGGCAGTTTTTGAAGCACTGGTTGTGTGTCAGCTAATTGAAAATTGACATTTTTAGTAGAAATAAAAAATGTAGAGTAAATAAATAAAATTTTAATCATTTAAAATTGGAATTCATTCAAAAAAGTATTAAGAATTAGGAAATAAGAAATGGACGCTGGACGAATTGAAGGTATTTATTTAAAACGAATGTACAATTTTCCGATAATTAATTTTAATATTTGTAAATTTTGAATTTCATAAACATTTTATAATTTTATTATTGTATATATACCTAAATACATGATTTCTTTTACGAATAGATACGAATAGAACAAAGATAAATTTTAAAATTCCTATGAAATCAAGTAAAAATTCGGAAAATGTTGGTCATTTACAATCTATGGAAAATTTTTCGTCCCCATTGATATCAGATTCCCAACAAGAAAAAGTTGTTGAAAATATAGATGTCAATGAGATTCGGAAAAATACCACCTTAACAGAATCAATTAGCAATGAAAAACCATTGAAAAGAAAACTAAATTCTGAAATGGCTTTATATGGTATAATAATAATGTTAAATTTCTTCAATATTTGTTAATAATTTGTTCTTTTTCAGCCGGTAGAAATACATTATATCCTGAAGAATTAAACAACCTTATATTACCATTATTCTGTAAACTATGTAACGCAGCTTTAAATTCAGCAAAAAGTGCTCATTTTCATTATTTGTCAAAAAGTCATGATAAGAAAATAAATAATTGGTTGTCTGACTGGTCAAAACGTACAGGTGAACCAGCACCTAAAATTGAAAAAGTAAAATACTTTTTAACGTTTATAGTTCTTTTGCGTTATTTAAATTGATTATTTTAAAGGACAATAATATAATACCTAAAGATTCTGAAATTTTCTTTTGTCAATATTGCAATGTAAAATTGACATCTTTGCAAGATGCTAAGCAACATTACAGTGGAAAAAAGCATGCATCGTAATACTTGAATGAATTTTAATGTTTGTTCAAGATTTAATCCTTTAAATTTTCTTTTTTAGAAAAATTAATTCCGGTATAAAGCCATTGAACAAAAATAATGTTCCTAAAAAGTAAAGAAATTCAAAAATATTTCTACAACTATATTATAAATCTTATTTTTAGTGTGAATATTTGTGCAGTTGACCAAAGATTTGGAATCGGAGAATCATTTAAAGTGGATCTTACAACAGTTGAAACACAGAATAAAAATGTTGAAAATGATTTGATTGGACCAAAAAAAGTCTCAGAAATAGAGGCAAATAGTATTAATCTCAATGTTTCACAAATTAATTCTAAACCAAATACATACTGTGAAATTTGTAATATTTATACAACATCTGAGCAACAGTTAACAATCCATATGCAAGGAACAAAACATTTTAAAAAATTCAAAGAAGTTTGTAAGTTTAGAAGCCAAATCTAAGATATATTATATTACATGTCATGAATAAGTTGTTTAATTTTTCTTTTATTTTAGGCCCAGAAAAAGCTTTTGCTGAAAGAGATTCTCATTTATCAAGATTTATTTTAAATTGTCGCACACCTTCTGGTGTATTTTATTGTAAAACATGTGATATAACTGTTGCCGATGATAAAAGTTTTTCACAACATTTTATTAGTAAAAGACATACGAGAAATCTTAAAAAGCGAAAAGGTCAACCAGAACAAAATGCAATTATTAACAATTTAAAAGAATAATGGAATTTACACCTACGAAAATACAAATAAAAGATGAGATGACACGTGCACTAATAACTGTCAAGAATACCTCCAAAATTTTGCCATTCCTCTTAAAAGGTTTTATATTTGGAGATTTCGGCATCGGTCCGTTTAGAGATTCACAAATTTGCAGACGGTTCTTTGTATTTTTCTGTTACTTCTTTCATAGGAATGCTTAATTTCATCATATATTTTCGATACTCTCAAGGAATTTCCCTCTTTTTTTCTTTTTTTTAAGCATTTTTAACTTATGATACCCATTGACACGATTAGTTCCTTAATCGCAAGTGTATGTAAATCTATTTGACTATCCTATAATTATTAACTATTGTATTTGTTTAGTATAGGAAAAAAAAAATTATTATAAATTATAAATCAAATATGATTGTTATTCAATGAAGTTTTTATATGAAATATAAAAAGTGCCAGAAAAATTTAATTAAAAGTTTTATTTTGAAAAAATTTTTAGGAAAATAATTTTCAAGTTCCTTACGACGCCAAAGATTTTCAAAATATACATACATATATTTATAATTTAATGTGATTTTTTTTTCTTTAAATTTTGGTTTCTTTTTAATTAGTTTTCGAGCAACTTAGAACAAAACCAGCTTTGTCAAATGTCGAATAATTACAGAAAAAACTTATAATACAAAATTTGTTCTGTAATTGTAGAAATAGTCCAGTTTTTAAAAAAATTTAGAAATTTTTATGCATAACATAATAATAATAATCCCATTATTAATAACCTCTTTATATTCAGGGGGTTTTCATTTATGCACGCTGCGCTGAAAGTTCTACATTAGAACTAAAGTTGAAGCGTTAAACAGTATGCAAAAACTTTAGCTAAGCTTTATTTGTTTACGCAGTCTACAATTTCTGAAATTTCTAAATAATCTGTCATTCGAAAATAACATAAATGACATTGTTTATGAAATTATATCCCAATACTTTTCGCTTTTCAATACACTGCAAAATAAGAAATTTTAACAACATTTGAAGACTTAAAGAAAACTTACTTTAATACCTTTCGATATCTGACTCTGCAATTTTAAAATTAAAAAAATTTTTTTTGAATTTTAATTTAAAAAAGAAAACAAAATTTCATGAGGCAGCGACAAAATCGCTACATTTCTAACATTACTTTATTACAGATTGAATTTCCGAACGCACTTTATTGCAGCCAGTAATTTCCGAATGATCTATATTTTTAGGGTGAATTTTCGAACGTACTATAAAAGTTAGATCTATTCTAGAACTAAATAAATGAAAACCCCCTCATATTAGTTCTCTTTATTCTTATGCACAACTGGTCTCACATTCATTAGTTAAAACAATTAAAAGCAATATTATTTTTGTTAATCATAGTTAATTTCAGAATTAAGGATAAGAGTATTAATCATAACTTATCGTAACAATTTCTATCATTACGAATTTTATTGTATCGGATCAAGTCACATTTTTTTTTTTTGAGGATTCAATCGAATTATTACGATGGTATTTTGAATTATTAAAGGACTAATTAAAGAATTTTGAGCAGTTTATATTTTTAAATTTTTCTTTACCTTTTTATTTTTTAGTATTGGCTTAACCTTAATAGATATTGATTAAACTTCAGTAAAATAAATATTCGAAAAAAAAAAAAAATTAATTTAAGAATGTGCCACATGTATTTTTAAATTTTTTTTTGTTTTTTTTTTTTGTTTTACATAATTATGTTTATTATATTATTTTTGTTTTTTTTTTTTTTAATTTATTTTCATGACATTAACAATTGATAGCTAAGTAATTTGCGATTATTTTTTTTTTTTTCTTCACTCTTATTATTACTTTACAATTATATGCTGTGTATGCAAATCAGAATATTAAATTTTTTGTTTTTTTTTTATATTTAAATTTAATATTTTAATTATGTTTTTTTTTTGTTTTTTCTTTTCATTTTTTTTTTTTGTTATTAATTATAATGTTTAATTATTAATTATGAATTTCTAAGTGCTTAAATGTTTTTTTTTTTATATTTTTTTTATATAATATTCAGTTTGGTAGTAATTGTACAAAAAGGCAACAGATAAAATTAGTCTTATGTATTAAAAAATGGTAATTTTTTTTTATTTTATACTTTTTTTTTTGTATTTTTTTTTGTTTTTGTAATTTTTTTTCATTAAATACAAATAATAAATGAAAAATAATTTAAGAACGTGTTTATTTTAATATTATATATGTATATAATGTATATGTATATGCATATATAAATATATTTATATATTATATATATATATATACATTTTTTTAAATTTTTTATTATTTTTTTTTTTTTATTTTAATAATGTTTAGTAAAGATTTGTTTTTTATTTTTTACTACTGTTAAATATAACAAAATTTTTACTTTATAACTGGGGGATTTTTTTTTTTTTGTTTTTATTATTTTGTTTGTTTTGTTGTGTGAAAAACTATGATATTTTTTAATAATAATAATCAATTATTTGTTTTTTTTTTTTGTTTTTTGAATGCGATATTATAATTAATATTTCTATTTAATATAAAACTATTAATGTATTTTTCATGCGTACTTGTATTTTGTTTCTTTTTAAGAACTTCCAAATTCTTAATTAATTTTAAATTTTTTCTTAAACATTAAAATGTGTGTGTTTTGTTTTTTTTTTTTTTGTTTTTTAACTTTTTTATATATTTGTTTTAATTATATATATATATTCAGTTATTATTTATATAAAACTAATTAGTTAAATATATTTATATATTTGTACATGTATTTATACATATGTATACATATATATAGATATAATTTTTTTTAAATACTAACGAAATTACTAAGATTAAATATTCTTAGTATGTACATTACTAAAATTTATCAATTCCAAAAATAAGAGAGAAAAAAAAAATAAATATAAAAGTTATTTGGAAAAAGGAATTTTGAGTTTTTCTTTTTTTTTTTCTTTTAAAAGGAATGTTTATAATTTCGTTTATCTTTTTTTTTTTTTTATTTTAAAATTGACATTTATCTCGGTATGATTCTTTAAAATATACTCATTAAATTTTTTTAATTTTAAAGATTCATCCTGATAGATTGTTACAATAAAATTTTTCAATTGTGTTTTTTATTTGCTTAATAAAGTTTTTATATTTTAAATAACGAAAAAAAAAAAAAAAAAAAAAATTAGTTATTAATTTGAGTTACATTTTTTGTCTAACAAAATAAAAAGGTTGGCTTTTCAATTTTAAAAATATTGGGTCATAAATTTTTATAAAATTCTAAATTTGATGAGTTTTAATTTTTATATTAATTTGTTCTTTAATTATTTCATTATCAATATATTTATTTTATAAAAACAATTTTAGCTAAAGAAAATTATTTTACAAGTTTTTAAAGTGGCTTTTACTCTTAAAAAGCCAAAATTGAATTTAAAAAATAATATTGTGTTTAATTCAAAATTTTAAACTACTTTTAAAGTTTAAAAATTTTTTCTTTTTAATTTCATATGCTGAAAAATTATCACAATCAATTAGAAGCAAACTGTATTATAATAAATATATAATAATATATAATTTTAATTTTATTATCAAATTATTCATATTTAATTGAAGATGTAATTATAATGTTCTTAAGTTTGAATTTAAACTAAAATATTGGGTGTAAAAAATATGTTTACATATTATATATGTTACGTAGTATGTCAATTTTATATTATATTTTAAATTATTAAAAGAAAATAATATTTTATAGTTTAATCTCACTGACCTTATAAACTATCAAAAACTTGATTGACATAGATATCTTATGATACAGAAAATACTTTATAATATTCACAATACAAAATATTTACTATGACAAAAAAAATTTCTATTACATCATTTAGGTTTTTTAAAGTTTATAAAGTTAGCAATATATTTATACCATATTTTTCTTTTAATTTTTCTAAATACATATATAAATTTATATAATGTAAAATTTTGTAAAGATTTTTCTTGAGCAATAAATTGAATAGGATGAAAATTGAGACAAAGTATTTACATTATTGGATTTTTTTCATATAATACAATTTTTATTTTTTATTTCAAAATTTATAATTAAATTATAAATATTTGTGTATTTTATTAAAATATTAAAAGATTAATAATTTAATAAAATTATATTTCAAGAAAAAAATATTTTATATTTCAATACAATATTGCACATTAACTCAAGAAAATCATTGGAAGACCAACAAAAAAAAAAAAAGATGCAAAATAAAAATAAATTTTATAATTGAATTCTCTAAACAAACTAAAAAGATTCTATTCAAAAAGACCTATTACAAAATTTGAAAGCTTGTTAAATAATTTTTACAAAATCTGTGTGCACTTATTTAATTTTTTATGTTTTGGCAAGAATTTTGAAGTTATTTTTTATTAATTTTTTTCTTATAAAGCCAACCTTTGAATATAATATATAAAAATTAGCGTAAAAACATAAAAAATAAAGTGAACATTTATAATTTAATTATAAACTAATAAAATACTATTATAGTAAGAATGTTTATGCTAATTTTGATTTTTTCAAATAAATTCTAAAAATAATCGGGAAACATTTTACATTTTACAAATATACATAATTGCTTATTAAAAAAAAAAAAATTTTTAACATAATATTCGTACAAGATACTAAGATAGATACTTTTTTTTTTTACTTTTTTTTCTAAATCCTTAATTAAAAAACTAATTCTTATTATCATTATATTCTTATTATAACTGCTTCAGCTACTTTTTTTTTTGTTTTAATTGAATAATTAGAAATTTATTAAAATATTTTTAATAAATAGTCATAATATGGTAGTATTTAGTATTCGTAGTTGTTGTCTTTTTGTTTTTTTTTTCCTTTTGTTTATTTTTTTTTTTATTAATTAAATTTTTGTTTATGCCTGTTTAGTATAAATAAATAATAAATACACGTACTAAATGTTTTGTGTCGATGTGTAAAATGTTCTATCATGGTTTCTATAAATGTAAATGCATATTTTTCTTTTTAAATTGTTTTGTATAAATATGTTTAGAGTAAATCTAAAATTACTATTGAATTTTTATATGACTTTAAGTGGAATGAGTTGGTCCATTTCCGGAGGGCATTGAGTGATACATTCGATGACTTCCGGCAGAGGCACCTGCTTGCCCACCACCTTCTTGGTATGCATGTTCACCAATTGGAATATCTTCACCCTAAAATGTTTGAAAAGAAAATTATTCCTATTATTTTATAATTACTAATTTCTATTAATATTAATTTTTTTAATTTCTTACTCTTAAGTATAATGCCCCTGATCCACTATGAACAACAGAGAGCCCGCCATTATTTCTAGATTCATTACCGACAGCAGCTCCACCAGTATTTCTTTTGATAGTTCTATCCTCATACCGTGTTCGGCCTTGCGATGCCATTGGTCGATTTAAAGTATTATTAGCATTATTTGGCGAATGAGGTGCTGAGTTTCTGGCAGCCACTGTCTTTGTTACAAAATCCTGCTCTTTCCATCCTTGCTTTTTATATACATCTCTCAATTCTTGATGTTGCCACATTGTGAATAAAACTTGACTTGCAAATTTCAACACACATGCTGTATATTTTTGTTTTTGCCGTGTTATATTCATTAATCTTTCAACTCCGCCGGCATCTAATAACGATCTAGAAAACTCCGCGTTTTTCTTAATGACTTCGTTAATAGTTGCTAAAACAGCTGCAATAGTATCGTCAGATGTTCCTTGATCGTGTTGTGGATTACCAGATGGTAACTTTTGCACCAAATCTCTCATAGCGTATTTCCCAATAAGTTCTTTATTTCTTTGATCTATAGCTAAATTTCTTAAAGCGGTAGCAACAGCACAAACTACTCTATCAACTTCCATTCTTAATAATTCAACTAATATTGGAAGTCCTTTCTCTTTTCTGACCGCTGCTCTAATTTCAATACTAGGTTGCCAATAACATGCTGCCAAGTTTTGAATAGCTCCAGCTGCTGCTTCAAGGGTTTCTGGATTTGAACAACTTTGAAGGAGTGATAAGTAAGACTGAACAACTTCTGGTTGCCATAGAAGCTCATACCCTTTGGCAGGCTCATTTCTTTGTATTGAATTACGTGATGTAGTTCCACTACCACCAACTGACAAATTGTCTTTTTGCTCTTGTGAATCCTTTTTCTTTTTACTAGCTCCAAAACAACCAAGATTTTCTCCTACAAAAAGAAATAGAATAACATATATTTTAGTTAAAATATTCAATATTTTTTTATAAATTACCCTTTGGAGAAGAAGCTGCTGAAGACGCTCTAGATTGACTTGGCATAGGATGTTTATCATAGTTTGGATCATCTACTTCTTGGCAACGATATGAAAGATTTCTTAAAATACAAACACAGTTTTCTACAATCTTGTTTCCAATATTGCTTTTTTCGATTGCAGATCTAACGACGTATAACAATGAATCAACCAAACTTTCGCATTCCCTCAGCTTTGTTCTTGCATATTCTCCAGCTGAGCTTACATTCCTTAAAACACCAGAAGCATTACGAAAAACAGTAGACCAGCATGTGTCGCCTGGATTAATTGGATCCCATCCAGAATGGGGTTTAATGATAATAGTAACTATAGCATTTAAACCATCATCAATAATAGGTCTTTTGAGGTCCTCACAAGACGACATATTCCAAATAACTCCGGTGACTAATTCTTTTACTTCTGACTCGTTTGTTCTCCTTAATAAGTTTATTAAAGCTATTATTCCATTAGCGTTTCTTATTGCTCGCTTATTTTCGTCATTTTGTCTTCCATATGATAAATTTCTTAGAGCACCACAAGCATTCCTAGGATGGTTTAAAACAAATTTGATTTCAGTAAAAATTAAGCAAAATTAAATTAAATATTAAATTTACCTATGAACTTCTGGAGTTTCATGTGAAAGCAATCGTACCAAAGGTGGTATTCCACCTAACGTTCTGGTTCGTTGTTTATTTGGATCATCCATATAACATAAATGTTGCAAATAGGCAGCTGCATTTGCTTTAATAACATTATTCGGATTATTTAGAAAACTAATAACTTCCGACAAGTTTGGGTCTCTCCACCGCATGACCTGTCGCTGGTCAGCCTCGTTACCGGCTACGTTAGAACTAAAAGCATCTGCTCCTCCTCTAGGAGAAGTTGCGACATTATGATCAATTAAACCATGGCCATGAATAGATAATTGTGACAATTGTTTTTGCAAGTCGTGATCACTTTCTAGTAATAATCTTCCGCCAGTCAAAGCGTTTCCAGCGGGTGCTAATGCGTTTTCGAAATTCGTTCCATTTGAATTATCATCGTATATAACAGGGCGTGTGGCATAAGTAGCGTTTGGATTAACCCCACCGGCTGGCAAAATTCCATAAGTTGGAGCCGAAACATATCCATAAACCATTGCGGGATCTTCGACAAATCGCGGATCTAATTGTACGCCTCCAGGCGATGGTGTAATACGAAAATCTGTCATTTCGTCATAGTGGGATGCTTGTAAATATGCAACGGGTTGAACAATTGCATGCTGTTGTCCAGCAACAGATGTCAAAGGCATCGGTGATGGCGATCCGCTATGTTCATTTGGACTTTGTGGAGTTCCTGAACGTTCATTTGTGCCACCAACATATTCTGATAAATATGCTACTGAACCAGCACCACCCTGTTGAGCTCCTGATGGATTAGTTGAATTGCCATAATGATCGGCTTGTGATGGATAATGTTCGAAATCTTGATAATGTGAATGATATTGTGCACCTTCTGCAACATACACATGATGTGAATCTGGATGTTGAGGCCGATCTACATGATTATAATTCATATATTGTGATCTAAAATAAAAAGAATGTTAATAGAATTTTTAATATTATTTTTCAAAAAATATTATACACATATATATATGTATGTATGTACATAAATGAATAAATTACCTCGCATGGATACCCATTGGCATGGCAACATAATCAACAGTTTGGCCATCAGGTCCGGTGTGTTGAACGTCCAAAGGCATTGCAACGTAATCAACTAATGCACCATCGGGACGAAAATGTTTTACTTCATGAACTACTTTAGTAACTGTTGTTACTTGTTGTGTTGTAGTCTGTTGTTTATGTGTTCTTACTAAAGTTTCGTCACTATGTACCGATAATTGAGAGGAGTTAGGCGATTGTTCTTGATGTCCGTTTGTATGGGAATGATGAAAATTAGACGTTGTTGAATTATCTGCCTGATTTCCGCTTTAATGATAACATTATTAAATCAATTGGCATGTAATTAATTATTTCTGTTAAATATAGAACAAAAATTACTCAAAAATTAACTTTAATATCTTAAAACGAAAAAAATAGTTTAGCATAAAATTATGTAAGTGTTATTATTAGTCATTTTTCCTTTTAATCGGGTTATTTTATATGTTAATTTTTTATAATTAAACACCAACAGCCCGATTATCTTATATGTAGCTTAAAATAATAAGGATTTCAGTAAATATTAATGAATTAAATATGCATTGGATTCTTTTTTTTTTTTAATGTTACAACATTTAGGTGTCTGGAATCAAAAAATATATTAATAAAGTTTTTTTTTTTTATTAATTTAAAATAGCAAATGAATTTATTATTAAACAGATATTAATTTAACTACATTAACAACAGATCTAAACAACAAAAGGCGTGCTAACACTATATTTAATTAAATTATTAAATTATAATGTTCCAAAAAAACTGAAACATTATTTTAGTGTTTAAATAAAAAAAAAAAAATTACTCAAGTATATGTATATGAAAATAGAATATGACATTCATTGTAAGTATTAGGGTTTATATTTATAGTGCATTTAAATGTGAACTTTTATTAAAAAAAGTATCAGAATTATATTAGCTTAAAAAAATTAAATAGAACTATGAATGTAAAAAATCTTACTTTTAAATGCCTTCCAAGTTATTTGCTGAGTCAACGAATATTCTAGTTCTAGTTTTTAAACTTATTTAGATATACAATATTTATAAATTTCAAATAAATAAAATTATTTCATCAAGTTCACCCATATTATAAGCGAAAAAAACGCAAATCTTTAAAATTGTTCTAAATGTTTATTTAATATAAGTAAAATGTGTAATTATTAATAATTACAAAAATTTATTGTATACTCAATAGTTCTTTACTATCACGATTAAAAAAAATATTTTTTAAATGCAGTTTTTCTTTTTTTTCTTTACTTTTTCTCAGTCCATTTATGTGTATGTATATATATGTACAGATTGCATCCAGACATTAATAATTTATTTTATAGCAAAAATATAAAATCTAGGTATGTTATCCAGATGGTAGGTAGGTATAGATAGGTACATTTTTATTTTTAATATTTTCAGGCACAAGCAATAAATTTTCTTGTATGTATGCTTGTTTTAAAATCAAGAAATTAATTTTATTGAATAATTTTACTTGCAATTCAATCTATTTACAAAATCTATATTAATTTTGTATTTATGTTTATTTACTGATTAGTTTTGATAAAACCAATTAGTCATTCAGAGATGGTTGTATTTCAAATTTATACACTCGTTTTGCTTTATTTATAATTTTTTTTTTTTTTTTTGTGAAAAACATGTAAATTTTAAATCGATTTGCCGTGCAAATTCATGCGAAATAATTATAAAAATATCAGTATACCGTATAAAATATTTTGATTTTTTTTTAATTTGAGTAACCTCGCAGGATGCGCAAATCAATATTTATGTTAATTTCCGAATAAAAAAAGTTTTTTTTTTTTTTAATTTTGTAATATTTATGGGTACAAATTGGAATTAAAAATAATTTGAACAGAAAAATTTGCAGATCCTTTCGTATAAAATATTTTGTGGAAAAGAAAAAAAAAATTATATATAGTATGGGGGTAGATACCTTACCGAAACATATTAACTTTGATCCGATATCCTTGATTTGTTGCAGTTGTCAATACCATAAATTCTAAATTTTATATGTGTATATATATATATATATATATGTATATTATAATTTTTTTTTTTTTTATTCTCAACTTCTTATCTTTAAGATATTCTTTATATAATAACTGGCTATATTATAGTTTTTAATTGCACCATAACTAAATCATTTCATTAAAATTATAATAGTAAGAACAATAATTTAAGTACAAGAGTAATAACTTTTTGTTTTTTATTTATTTTTGTTAATCAGATCACTTGATGTTACAAAAATTTTGAAAAATCTATAGATGTCTACACTTTGGGTGGGTTTTGTTCAAATGTCAAAAAAGCATTGAAATCTCATTATTGGCTCAATGAAAAAAATTAATTTTTCATTTAAAATTAATTCTAATCTATTTATTTTTCACACTTTTCTTAAAATTATTATTTAGCAAAATATTAACATAAATTAAAGAAAATTCCATTAGTCTGACAAGTCTGCCTTTTCTCTTTAGCTATTAAAAGCTTAATATAGAGGGTGAAAATTTACAAAAAAAAAAAATCAATAAAATATTAAAACTAAAACATATTTCTTACTTTTTTCAATATTATTATAACCGATTTATAAAATTTAATTAAAATTTATAAGATATTTATCGAATTTACCGAACAATTAATTAAATTTATTAAATATGACGACTCCATTATTATTTGCAATAGAAATATCTTGAGATAAAATACAAGTTGATTAAAAAAAAGATGTCATTTAAACAGTGCTGCCATTTTTTTTATGAGTTTTCTCCAACTAGAAATGACGCCTACATAACTGTCATTTCTTGTTTATAAATATCGATATGTTCTGAGCGCACACTATATCTGTAGTTATTACTATCGCAAATGCCGCTTTCAATATCATATTTTGAAGTGCGCGAAAATTTTTTAATTTAATTCAAAATTAATATGACAATAAATATTAATCTATTTTTATTTTTTACAGTGACTTTTAAGAAAGCTTACAATAAAAAGATGCATTCGTGCATCTGTGTGTTTACATATATTTTGACGTATGTTTAACGTGTGAAAAACAATTTTTTTTAAACGTATTTTAATATAAGTAATTTCATTTATAAAAAAATCAGCGTTTATTGGAACATTTATAAAACATGTAATACTTTATAAAGTATGTAATGTAACTGCAATATACTTTATATAAAATACTTTAACAAAACTTATCCGTAGAAAACGTTAAGACAATTTTTGTTTTTGGCTTGGGGGAAAAAGTATAATTTAGTAACTTTTCAAAGTGTCATACTGGTATGTAGTTAGAGTTTGACATATTGGAACAAAATTAGACGGTAAATTATCATTAGGCTGTTTTATGAAACAAAATCAAATTTTAACTGAGTTATCTGATTAAAAAATAATAAACTTAGTTAAGTGATTGTATATAAATATGAGGATGCTGTATTTATCTGCACTAATGCACTATTACGTGAATTATCATTATTTAATTTTTTGACAAGTAGTATTATTTTTAACGTATTATACTTTGATGTTATTTAATATGAATCAGCTATTTTTTAAATCAAGTATAATTTTAAAATTAACCAAGTTTATTTTTTTGAATAAATCATTTTATCTTACTTGCGTTCCTTTATTTTATTTACTTGAAATTGTAGCAAACTTTTAATGTTTTGGTAAAATTAAAAATGGGATTGGTTTTTGTAATTTTTTCATAATATGGTTGAGAATGTTATACTTTTTTATAAACACACGGACTAAAAAATCAGCTGGTTGTAAAAAATTAAAGTTTAATTGAGTTATTTTTTAATTTTTATCTCATGAAAGGGGATACAAAGATCTCTCAATAGAGAGATTCCAACATAAAAAACTGCATTTTATTAAATGATTTTTTATGTTGTAGTATTTTTGCCTATATATATACATTTATTCAGGCGAAATTTTTTTTTTGTTATTCATTGCAATTAAAATTTAACATTTTATTTAAAACGTTTGACAACTTTTAAAATTTTCAATATTTTTATAAACGTTATTACATATGATAAAGATGTCTGACAATTTAATGAAAATTTAAGTACTATATTCCTTTACTTATTCTAAATGCACTATTTTGACATTAGCGTGAAACATCATATTTGACACTAGTCAAAATTTTTCCGTTTAATTCTCTGTTATTTATAAAAGTGTGTTATAACTTAAAAAAATTTGAACATTTCTTTTCATATATTTGAAGCAAAGAGAAAAATAATTTTGGTTTCGGTTTGCTGAAGGGCGTATATTGTTGTTAAAAAATTGGGTTGAAAATGGCTTTCTTCAAATTTTAAGGTAAGTTGTTTGATTTTAAATCTGTGATGTTTACTCTTCATTTTAATATAACGGTGTTGTGGGTTTCAATAGTAATGATAATCATCTTATAAATCTTTCTCGCACTCGTACGTATATATATATATATTTTTTCATTCATCATAAACTTATCATAGTATTTGTACTATCTAGGAACATATTAAGAGCATATACCCCTTCTGCCCAATAAATGCCATTTCATTTCAATATTAATCATCATAATTATTAATTTGATAATGAAAAATTAAAGAAAAACTTAATTAAGAAGTTATATTTTAAATTTTATTCATATAATAATACTGTATTTAATAATATTTTATTTATTTGTATTTATTTTTTGTTTTTTACATATTTTCAGATCTATAACTAGATTTAATAATGAATGAATAAAACTCTTTCCTACTTTTATATTATAATATAATTTGTATATATATTTTAATAAAATATTATTTATTTCATTTTATTACTGGATATTCAAGTTTTTTATCTAAATCCTGCAGCATCAATTTCATCGAAATCCTTTTTAACAAAATTAAAACCAGCTCTATCAATTTCATCGAAATTTCTTTTGACATTTGTAAAACCAGCTCGATCAATTTCATCAAAATTTCTTTTATTGATCATGTTCCTCTGTAAATGATTTGTCATAATTTTGATTTTGTTGCCAATTTGTCGCCTGAGAAATGTTTTTTTTTGCATGGAGAAATGAGAAGAAAAAATTAAAGAATTTTAAATTTTTCTTAATTAGAAAATACAATGTTTTTATATAAAAATTTTTTAATTGTTATTTATATAATGATTTTATGTGCAATTATAAATTTAATTATAAATTTGTACAATAAAATATAATTACCCTTCTTCCAATAAACGTTGGTATGCCATTAATCTGTCAGCTATGTATATATGTATATATATTGTATGTATATAATTTATGAGAGCATGTTAAGTAAAATATGTGAATATTAAAAAAACAAATATATTTTACTTTATATTTTTAAAATGATCAATCATTTAAATTGAATCTGATTGAAAATAATATGAAAATAAAAAATAAAAAAATGAAAATTATGCTTAAAGTTTTATAATCTAAATTTTATTATTATGTATAATAGTTTATAATAGTATTATACACAGAAGACAATTCTTGTTATATACAATTATAGGTTAACGCGGCCCACCTAAGGGTACACATAGGCCATCCAGGCCAGTTGTGGCACCATATATATTAATTTTGTAATTATAAAACGTACGACTTTTTTGAGTAGCGCTATTGAATATTAAATTTTTTAATTTTAAAGAGTGCAACTAAAAAAATGTAGTTCTATTATGTAATTACAAAAAATTGTCTTCTGTATAACATTATAAACTGTTATTATATTTTAAAACCTTTTGTATAATATTTAAATTTAAGAAATTTTAATGATATATAAAGAGTAATATGGACGCTATATATAATTGAGAGTGAGAACATAAACTCCACGACAGTATTTCTGCGAATAAGAAAAATACTTCAATCCTTAAATGAATTACATATATATAATATAAGGGTTTAAATAAATAAATAAAATAATATTATAAATTTTGAATAAAACACAAGAAAAATTTCACAACCAAATTTCTTCTTTCTTGTTTTTTTTTTTTTTTTCTTTTACATATTTTTTTATATATAATTAAGTGATATTGAAATTTTTTTTTTTATATATATATTAATTTAGTACATGTTAATTATTTTAAATGGTGCAATTTTTATACAATTTTTTGTTAATTATTTTTATTTTATTAAATTATTGTCGACGATATATAGTGACTGACATATTTATGTATATATATATAATACATTAATCGTATGTGCAAAAAAAAATAAATATATCCAAGTATATATATATATACGCATATATGTATACATAATATATTTGTATATATATCTGAAGGTGGTTTATTTTTTTAATAAATTAGCTCCACCAATGGAATCGATAGTCCTTTTTGATGGAAATCCAGATCCTGATACATACGAATCAATATCATTTTTTTCACCTTGTGTTGTTTCTATATGGTGTAATAATTTCATTAGTAATGCACTTAATCTGGCATTTTTTTCACTTTTCAAAGTACTTTTATCAGCTGCATTAAATTTTTTAATTTGGAAAAAAATATATATAAAATTAATAACGTGTATTATATTATTAATTAATTAAAAAAAAAGTGGTCACTTACCAGAATAAATAGCATTGAGATCTCTTAAAAGATGTCCACCACCTATTGATTCCAATGTTCTATATACTTGATATGGGCTATAATTTTCTAAAATGAATTTATAAAATGCATTAAATTTTTAAATAATTTTTTTTTTTTTTTTAATTAATAACATAGAAAAATTTTTTTTTAATAAAAAATAACCATTACCATTTTTTAACAGCAAAATTACAGTATAATACTTTTAAATCCATAATTACTATAATTTATATATAGTAAATTTATTTGAGAGCATAACTGTTATACATATTATGTTTTGCTTAATTACCGCTACCACAAATTTTAAAAATTGCACAACTTTTATTTAATATTGTTTTTTATTTTTTTGTTTTTTTTTTTTTTTTTTTGAATTTTGTTACTTTAAAGCACACTCAACTATAAAATAAAATAAAAACATTTTTCTAAACATATTTATATATATTTTTAACATTGAAATAATTTCAAATTCAAATATCTACTCTCTATATATATGTGTTATACATATTATGTGATGTTATAATTAATTTATGATGATTTTTACTGTATTATATAATATTATAAAATTGTTAAAAAATAAAATATATTAATTTGGTATAATAAGGTGAATTAAATTTAATATGGTGAATAATGTGAAAAAAACGTCTTACGTATATATGTATATGAATTTAAAATGAATGGCTTGAACAAAACAAAGAAGCTTTAAATTATAATACATTAAAAAATAAAATTATTTTTTTATTAATCATTTAAAAAATTTTTTTTATTCTATTTTCTAAAATAAATAATAAATTTATAAAAACTAACAAAACTGTTCAACTTTTTAACAAAACAAATTTATTTTTAATTTTTATTACTAATTATATTATACTTATGTTTGGAATTTCTATTATATATATATATATAAGAAATATATATATATATAAAATTGAAATATAAAATTGAAGTAGAGTAATTAAATAAAGTAGACGGCATTTTTATTAAAAAATTTGAATTTCTCACCACTGGTTTTGTAAAAAACAATATATATACCTAGTTCTCACCACTACATTTTTATGTTTACCATTTTATGGGGGTTTAGAAGGCAATACGTTGAATATTACATTTTCAATCAGAAGCTTATTATAACACTATTAATTTTTCAACAAGATTAAAATTAATTTTGAGTATATTTCATTATTAAAATTTTTTTAATTGCATTCTGAAAAAGAATATTAGATGAGAAGAATCTATTGAAAATTTGATTATAAATTCTGAATGAGGTTTTCTGAGAATGCCATTGAAAGTTTTTGATAATTTGCGCTTAAAATATGCAAGATTTGCAATTGTTTGCTTTCTGTTATATTTTTTCGAATATGGTTATTCACATTTCAATTTATTTTCAAATTTTATGTTCTTTACTTGAATTAAATTAAGTGTTGTTTATTTGAGCCTTTAATTTGATAAATGCTTCAATTGAAATTTTAATTAATCTAATAAATATACGATCAAATATTACCGTTATATTAACAATTTGTGAATATTACAAATTATACACAATTATATTTTAAAATTTATTAAACTATTATTATTATACTACTATGAATACTATCACAAAATATACTTTACTTAACATATTGAATTATAAAAACAATTTACGCAAAAAACTTAAAAAAATTATTAAATTTAAAAAACAAAAAAAAAAATTCACTTCCGTTTTATATAAGTGAATATTGTATAAGAAAAACCAAATTTACTACCTTAAAAGCTTCTATAAATTATTGAATATTGAAAATAAAATAATTAAATAAAAAATGTATTTTTTTTTTTAATGTCAAAAGAAGCTCTTACCCTCATTCTGATTAAGCTGTTTTAAGTTATTTTGCAACATGTATTCGTCATATCCATGAACCTAATTTGTAAAAAGAGAAAGAAAATATAAAAATATTTTTATTAATATTATAAAATTTAAAAAAAATCTTTTGAATATTTTTCAAGTTAAATACATTATTATTGTATGAGATGATTTTGTTTTTATTATCCTAAAAGTATGCAATTAATTTTCGAAATATTAAATTCAATTGAGAATATAATTCTGTTATACATTTTTCGAAATTGGTGAAATAATAATAAAGTATAGTGTGAAAAGTTTCGTATGTATAGGTAACATTAATTTTATATTTTATAGCCACACCTATAGCAAATAGAGCGCATTAATATTTTTTATATGATTCTATGTAATTTAATGATTTTGAATACGAAATACGTGGCAAAATGGAAAAAATTGACTATAATTTCGAAATTAAATAACCAAAATAATTTGCCTTCCAAAAGGGAAATAATTTATAAAGGTAATTAATGTTAAATATTGCTGAAAGACAAATATAATATTAGAAGCTAACATTAAACATAAGCTTTTCCTACATTCATTTAAAAAATTTTGTTGGTAACCAAAGATTTAATGGAAAAATTTTTAAAAAAAATATAAAGTATAGAAGAAATTATTGAAATTTTCTAAATAATAAGATTTTTTTGGAATATATTCCATGATAAGTGCGCATTTTAATATTCCAGCAATTATGATATTAAATTCAGAAAGTAAAATTAAATGTGGCCTAAATGGTTTGGTTTAAATTGATAATCCACCAACACTCTCAACCTTTTTTAATTAATAACTTAAAGGAAAAATGTAAGCCTTAATATTTTGTTTTGAATGCCATATGCAAATTAAAAGAATGTAAAATATTTCGAAATTAACAGAATTTTTAAATCAGAAAATAAATAAGAAATAAAGGGTAACCACAATTATTTTTAGTTCCCATATGTTATAATATATATAGATCCACATATACATCATTAATTTATATGTACATATGTAAGAGTACGTAAGGATATTTGCTCTGAAATAACATTTGATTTCCATCGCGAAAATTTACCTGTACCTTTTTTTCTTTTTCTGTTTTAATTTATTTTTTACGTTGGTTCTCTTAATGAACAAATTGCGTTTTTGTTAATTAATGTTGACTTATAATTTGGGGAAATACAAATAATAACACTAACGCACTTTCGTTTTCAATTTTTTATTGCCATCTATTGTTTATTTTAAGCAATAAAAATTAGTGCATACTTAATTATTTAAGCTTAATGAACATCATTTATGGAAAATATGTTGGCTATAACAAAAATAAAATTACTAAAATTTTAAAATCTCACACGCTTGTAAGTTTGTAATTTTCGCAAATTAATTAGCAAGAAAAAAAAGAATAATTCAATATTTTATTAATTCTAATTTGAAATTTAAGATATTTAATAAATATTTTAACTTATAAATTGGCAATATTTATTTCTATTTTAAATATCTGAGAATTCTGAAGAAACAGAATTCAATTCTGTTTCACATTATACACTGCATTACATTGCAATTTTAAAAATTTTATTCTCTACATTAAAACTGAAAAATTTTACTATAATACATGACCTTTCTCATTTCACCAAATTCATTGCAATATTTTAATTAAATATTCTTTGTTTTTACTTAAAAATAATTTATTAGTTTCTTCAAGCATTTAAACGAAATCATTTGACAGTATTATTTAAGTTTTGAAATAAATTTTACACAAGTAAATGAAGGTTAAAAAACTTGACTAAAATAAAATGAAATTAATATTTTTTGTACGTGATTATCTTACAAAACTATACATTGGTCCTTTAATTTATTTAAAAAAAAAAAAATAAAACAGTTTTAGTGAAGAGGGGTGAAGAGGAACTAATATAACACTTTTAAAAGAGTGAAGAAGAATTAACTTAATATTTGGACGCAAGAAAATTAAATATTTTCCAAAAAAAAAACATTTTTTAATTAAAAAAAAAAAATTAATTTTTCTCTTAAATTGAAGGAAATAGATCGGTTTTTGTAATCAGTAAGACTGAGTAAATACTTTTAAAGCAAATTACTACAATAGTGAATTTTGAATAATAAAATTGTAATAACGAGTAACAATCACGAGTTTAAAGAGAGCAAATAATACTCTTATAAATGCTAAAATTAATTTTTCATTCTCTAATCGCTAGAAATTTTGAAAAGGCCAAAATCAGCCGAAATTTTGTAAACTATTTAATAAAACTATTTGTGTTTTTTTTTTAATTAAAATTTTGTAATTATTTTTTAAATAAATTTCTGTAATTCTGTTATTCCCACAAATTACAGAACAGATAGATGACGTGGCCGAGTTAAGGCCAAAAGGAACAAGTTATAACTTAAAAATTAAAATTTTTTTTTTCTTCAAACTGGATCCAAAAACAAGTTCACCACACCGATTTCTATAGGCTGACGCATTGCCATTACTTTTAATATTTAAATGCCATGCTCCTCTTCTTCCTGAATTTTTTTTAAGGATATTCAAAAGGATGCATTTTTTAAATATAATTTCATCATCACTATGTATAATTCGTTGTTATTTTTTTTATTTTTATTACTTAATTGCATCATATTCCATTTATTTAAAATGGATACAAGAAAAAATTCTTCTACGATTTTATTATAAAAAAAAAGGACAAACAACATTGTTGATTTGAAATATCATTTTAAATTGAATTAATGGAGAAGAATACTTTAATGCAATTTTTAATTGCATTTTGTTGGTCAACCAAATTTATATACTTATATATCTATATATACCATATACTTGTGTTTGTTAAGTCTCTTGTATTTAATTTTAAAATGACATTATAGAATGAACAAATTGCAGATGCCTTTATGACATTCAAAGCATTAAAATTATTTTAAAGAAATGAAAAAGAAATGAAATTAAAAGTTTAAGAAATTCTAAATAATAGAAATTTTTTCTTGTATAATATATGTAATAATATTGTTATACAGAGATGGTAAAAAGAAAAACATAAGTAATTGCAAATTATATTTTTGAAATTTAATGGAATTGAAGAGAATCTTCTACTCTATATTAGAAAAAAGTGGTCAAATTATATTAAAAATTTTTTCACCACGATGTCATCAACTAATATGCCATCTATATAATGTATTTTCTTAATAAAATAATTATATAATGATTATACGCACAAGAATGCATTTCTTGACCTCTTCAAAGAATTTTGAAAAATTCATGCATTTTAAAAATCTAGTATAGTGCATGGATTTAAAAATATTGTTGCAATAATCTACGACCAGGTGATTAGGTAAACTAAATATCAAAAGTACAAACATTTTGATTATTCAATTTTCGCACTCTATGGTATACAACTTTATTAAAAATTTATATAGAAGCTTAAATATTATATAATATAATTCTCAAGTGAGATATAAATTTGTTCCTTTATATACCCAGAATTTTCTTCTTTAATATATTAATCATTATTCTTTCTTATATTCAACATCTTATTTTCTATTACAGAAAATTTTCGCCTAATTTATCTTTATATATATATATAATACAATTGTACATTAATATATAGTTTTATAAACTGTTATACTAAAAAATAACCTTTTTTTTTCATAATATCTATTTAAATATAACTATATATTACATGATAACTATATATTACATGTACATGATATATATCAAACTATTGTAAAATTTAGTGTAAAACATTAAAATTTTTGTAATCATGTCACGATTTTATTTTTATACTTAAAACCTTATATATACCTTATATATATATATGTACTTATCTTATTAAAATGTAATCTGTTTGAAAAGTTAATATGTATATACATATACGTATGCTTATATGGGCTTATGTGTATATATTTGTTAAGAACAATTTAAGTTCCTTTGTTTTATAAACATATAAACAGAAGTGTGAATTAAAATTTTTTTTCTTAAAGGTGTTCAAATCGCAAAAAACAATGATAATGTGTAAAAAATTCTGTAGGTGATTTAATCGTAGCATGATAATCGAGAATGTCTATATATGAGTCTACATGATAAATGTATTGTATATATAAGTAAGCTGATTACAACTTACTTATAATAAAATAAAAAAATCATTTATTTCAGGATAAATGTAAACTATAACGCTGTTATACTTATAATATACGTAAAATATAATATTGTTAAATGGCGGAAACCATAAATTTAGGTGTTAAAAATTAAACAAATTTCTATATAATTAAATATAACAAAGGTTAATAAGATTAAGTTCAGAATTATTATTGTTAAATTATAAAAGGAATATGAAGGATAATAGTAAAGTTTCATTCATTTTTAGAGAATTTTTCACATTTATTGTGAATGGATATTTATACCATTCAAATTAACAATTAGAAAGACCACACATACATTTGCATAATTTTTAACTTTTATATAATTTTTTATATAACCGAATATAAATTTGACTAGATTAGTATTAGTGGTATATATGGGAAGACTATACAATAAGCGATTATTCTGACTGCGATGGCTAGAGGGGAGGAATTCTTTTGCCCATATCTCTCTTCAATAATCGACAATATACCGAAATATGGTTGATATATATTTCATATTGAAAATTTGTTATAATGGTAATTTTTCGCAAAATTTTGATTTCTGAGTTGGAATTAGAAATTATTAAAATTACACTTCTAAATAACTCAGTTTTTCATCCTTGTATTAAAAGGGTTAATTTTTCTAATAAAGTAACTAAAATTGAATACATTACTCATATTTAAGATTTATGTAATTTTAAGAAACATATTTTTAGAATTTTCAAAAAAATATAAAAACTTTTCATTAAAGTTAAAATTTTTTTTTTATGATGACACAATTGCTATAAGAAATAAGAAAGTTTTTCAGGATTTTTGTTTCTTTATTTTGATTTCTTTTTTATATTTGTTCCTAATAAATATTCCAGAATAAATAAAATCTTGATTAAAATGAATATTATTATGTATGTACGTCATAAGCATATGTCATTTAA